ATCCCCTAGTACAGATACAGGTAAAGATACAACAAGCATATTTACCTGTTCCGAAGCATCCTACAATAGTAGCTTGGTGACTGTAATTCACACCACACCACTTGGGGCTAAAGCTTGAACAACCCTGAAGGAGACAACCTTTTTAATTGGATGGAAATTGGATCAAAGCTCTCCATGTCTCTCTATCCTGCATAGCCTCCTTCAATTCCGATTTTTTTCGTTTTTTTAAATACTCTTTCCGCCCTGTAGGCACTAAGAAGGCATTTTATAGCAGGCCCGTTATGGATTTGGCCAGGCCCACAATGGGGCGACCGGGTGGCGAGGGACGGGGCCCGACATATTCGAACGGACCACTCACCCAAAAAATTCCTGGGGATTTCTTACCCGTGCGGATTTGATCTGGGATCCCCCAGAGCCGTAGGCTGCCACCTTGACCGCTCGGCCATCCGGCCATCTCCTTTAATTCCGTTATAGATAATTTAGTATCACTTTTGATAGTGTGGAGCCATTGAGTCCTTGATCGGCCTCGCGTTCTTTTCTTGCTAACCATCCCAGCATGACCATCTTCTCAAGGGAACTGGTTCTTATTATATGACCAAAAAAGAAGTTTGGTTATCTGGGCTTCCAGTGAGATTTTCGGTGGGACTCTTGGTAGGTATATAATATAAAGTTTCAATTCACACTTTCCTTTGGGGTGCAGAATTTTAAATATAAGAAAACTATTTTACCATTAGAGAATAAGTAATATTGAATTAAAAAAAACTGTTATAATGAATGTGCATGTATTCTCTAAGTAAAACAGTTACATTTGCTTTTCCAATGTTGCCACCTAGCCAACAAATACAATTTTATTGTAATTATCAAAAATTTACCACCTTTTGTCAGATTTAAATCTAAGTGGTTATGATTTAACTATTAAATGTGCAATCAGTTGAAAAGTATGGACATTTTGTTTAATTTTTCTAAGTACGTAAAGACACGAACTGTTCGTAATAAATACAGACATAGGGTAACTCTACTAACAATTAATTTGAACTTTCCATCCAGATATGATACCATAACTTCAGATAATTCAGAGCTGGTTCCTTCTTTATTAGATTTAAAAATATTTACTGTGAAACACAGAATTGCTTGGTGAATGGTGCTGTTTCCAGGGGCATATTGCAGAATCTACTAATGGAGTAGCGGAGTTCTTGACATGGACTGTGATTTTGTACAATCCATTTCNAATCTTACCCGTTTTCACAGAATGCAAGAATTAGGTCCCCCGTTTCCAGAGTAATTAGAGACTTGGTCTCGATTCTATTTCTGAACGTCTCCTCTTCACGTCAAGTCAAACGAACTATTTTCAACGTTTCTGGAACGTTTACAATCGTTCTATAATCGAACCAATATTCGAATTTTATGTTCGAATTAAATTCGAACAAAACATTCGAAATAGAAAGCCACTTTCAATTACTTTCAGCCTCATGTCTCCCGCACCCTTAATAGCTATCGAGATGCAACCACCCCTATGCACGAGTGGAGACTTGGGGCTACCACCACATACAAACACCATTCACGTGCGATGTGTAGTTTTGGCGGAAAAGTGAAATATAGGGACACACACGTCCATTTATATATATTATATATATATATATATATATAGATATAGATATAGATATAGATATAATATATTGCGTACGGTTACTTGGGTTGTTAATGTTGTCAAAGCGATTATAGACAATTGAAATTCAGCATAAAATATTGCATAAAATTATTTTGGTTTACGAATCAAGAAAGAAGTGGAGAATTTTCGTTTGTGCAGGTGATCCTCCTGGTGACGTTGTTTTAGCAGATTACGTCATCTTTCTTGTGTCCGAGTCATTGTCAAAGCAAGAATAATTCGAAAAGACTTCAACCAAGTGGGCATGGTTAGGCTGACGTTTAAAATCTGAGCGGGACATTTTTCAGAATCAGTGAAAATGGGTGCTTTATATCGGGGTGTTAATTAAGTAATAAAGTTGTAATCAAAGATTGATTCTACAATCAAATATTAAAAACAGGCAAAACCAGGGACGTCTGGTCATCTAGCGCAGTGGTTCTCAATTTTTTTTTACTTGCGTTTCCCTATGTAACTCATTTTCCTTGGTTTTATTTCTTATTTCCGCTAAATTTTTTCACGTGTTCGTCAAACAGTGGCATCTTGATCAATTATACAGCGCCGTATGATTACAGTTTTTTAAATCGAAGTGTTAGAGAAAGGACATAGACCAGATATAATAAAAATATAATTATATGTTTTATTTAAAACTAAGCATCGAGTGGCGCGACGTCGCCAAAGACCTCAACGCAGAATCCGAATATTCTTATGGTACAGTACATCGATTGGGAATCACTGCCCTAGCATAGAACAATTACCTTTCCAATGGGAGAATTTGTTTGTCGCGAACGTGTTGGTGCGAACCGGTAAACACGTCGAAATCCTCATTGGCATGGTGAATTCGAATGTAATGTACAGTACATTCGATGAAAGTTAATAAGGGATTGAAAATAAAAAGCGTTTTTCAAAGAGGAAAATGAACAGAAGAGAAATTACGCACGAAGCGTAATAGCGGAATCAGATGATAACGAATTAACGTTTCTAAGCCATCGATCAGTGATAACCTTAAATTTCCTTCCATATATATATGGTCTAAGTCAAGAGTTCCGAAACTTTTTGGTAAAAATCATTGTTGGCAAACACGTGTCTATACTTATATATTAAATCGAGTGAAGAAACCAGTTTATTAAAAAAAGCGTGAAATTCGAGGAAATATTGATACAAACTTTGATAGAATCTTGATTATATGCAGATTAATGTTAAGAACACGGGTTTTGTATTGATTTTAGTAGTTCGAACTTTGACTTTTGACAGAATTTTGACTGTTTTTTTTAATAGAATTGATTTTTGCAGATATTCGACTATTTTACAGAGAATTTATCCGATCGTGACCTTATGCAAATTAGTTTTAAGAACGTAGGTTAATTTTTAGTAATTTTAGAACTTTGACCTTTGACCCTCAAGATTTGGTAGAATTCCGTTGCTTGCTCCCTATACACAAATAAATAAGCATGATGTTGGAGCCACGCTCGAGCTTTCTCAGACTGACGACGTCCGAGTCGACCTTATTTTTGGTCATCATTATTACTATTGTTCCATTTGACCTGTCTCAATTTTACCTCCAGCATTTTTACTTCTTCGCTTTTGTTCAGATAATGGTCCTATAGAATGACTGAAGTCGCCCAAAGCATTGAGACTATCTAAGGCCTTGTTCTTTAATCTGGTAATAAAAGTGCGATATTCTAGCAGAGAACTTCTAATTATCACTGTATGGATACCTAAAGGTTTAAACACGCCTCCCTTAAAGGGGTCTTTCCTATTTTTTTTAAACAATGATAAAGAACAGAATAGGATTAGATAGTAAAAGAAAATCCAAACTTCAGCGATAAATTAATTTTCGTATCACTTTCTTATCTTTCTAATCTTTCTAATATTATTTTTTATCTTCGATTATACTTTATCTTTCAGACTTTGCTTTAAGTTTTAATTCGTCCAGTAACTTTTATAATTAAAAAACTTTTTTATATCGTATAAATTTCTTATTTTAAATATTCGTCTCGCGCATAGATACGTTGTTAATTTAAAATAAATTTTGTTTTATTAACACATTCTCATTCGTAAATATTTTTTTTAAACATTTAATTCTTGGGAAAACAATTAAAAATATAAATTACAACATAAACAGATTTAATACAAACGATATCACGAAACTCCTATTGTGTCACATGAAATTCTCTAAAAAATTTATTTATTTCATATTGATCATAATTAGCGAGTGAAATGTTAAATTAACCTTATTGCCTTTAGGTGTGCAGACAATTATAAGTGGCATACAATAACACAATAAAGTTTCCGTTTCACTTTTATGTTATTACTGGTGATTACTGTGGTGAATTTGCCAGGTGCAAATACACGAGCAAATACGAGTGTTTAATGATTTTATACACTACGCTACTGGTGGACACTAAAAGTGTTAATTAAAACTGTACTCTAACTACTTAAAATCCTCGAATAAATCTTCGAAAAGCGATAAAAATAATAGTAGCACTCTCGGTTGCTGTAGTGTGATATTTAACGTTTGTGATTGGCAGACTACAGATTATGTATCATAAAACTGATTCTTATTGGCATTTGTCGTTTCCTATTCTTTTAATAGTAATATACATGCATTATTACGTGCCACTTTGAATAAGTGCTGGACAAAACGAATAATAATCATGTCTCCGTCAACTTTTCAAATTCTTTTAAGTTTAGTTATTATTTGTCTCGTGTTGATTTATACACTAGTGAATAAACGGAGAAACAGGAAACAACGGGAAAATGATTCGACTTTAATATCGTATGGAAAGTCTTCATCTGTGTCTGGAAGTAAGTAAATGTTTGAAAGTTTTCGTTGTTATTTTTGTAATAAATTATTACTTTAAAAGGAAAATAAACGATTTCATAAAAGAATTCGATTAACTATATTAGTTGTAGTGGTTTGAATGGCACTAATCTCAAAATTAATTTTTCGATTACAAATCTTATTTTTATTTTAACAATAAGGCTGTATTATTTATTAAATTTAAATTTTATTTTATTTTAACAACAAGTTTAATTATCAAATGTTTTTAAAAATTAATTATATTTTCTAATTCACTTTATGAACTAATTTATATTTTGATTATGAATTATTTTTTAGAAGAAATACGATTAATACCAAGATTGAAAGTTGCAATCTTGGTATTAAAGACACATGGTTTTTTTTTACTTACGACGGCGATAGAAATTATTCTGTTCCTCCTCGTTTGTACAAGTCTTTGGATACATGTATTGCTGCAGTAAATAATTTTTCTTTCGATATTCCTTGTTAGCGCCTCAAGCGCCACCGTATTTTTGTCATAAAAAAAAAGGAAAAAAAAAATTTAAAAAAAAAAAATTTGTGAACGAGAGTAGTTCTGTAACGGTCATTTGTAGCAGCCATTTTGTACCAGTGTTTCATTCCGCATTAAACGTTATTTTTTGCAAAACCGCAGTACTTTCATATTTTTACAGTCCATTAAAGATCGACAAACATCTGGTCCGTCGAGGCGGATCAAGAAGAAAAGAGAGACAACTTCGCAAGCAAATAAGATTGGGTCAAACTTCATTAAGTCACCTATCCAAGGTAGGAGGAATTTACCTGTCCGTTATACGTGGTAGACAGTTTAAAATGGATCAACTCGAGAAATTAAAGAAAAAGCGCGCTTCGATAAGAGCTAGTGTGACGAAATTAATTAGTAAAATCGATAGTTTAATTGAAAGCGACGATAGAGAGACAGAAACTCATCTAGAAATACTGGATCAGTTGAGTCGAAAGGAAGAGTCATTGAGAACCTTAAACGGGGAGATTGAGGGTTTCATTACTAGCCCAACTGATTATGACACTGAGATAGTCAATAGTGAAGAATATGAGGACAAAATTATAAGTTGTAAATTTAAGATCCAGTCTCGTATTAAACGATTAGAAGCAGATTCGTCCGTGGTCACGGTGACTCAGGGCCCCGTAGTTCGAAATAATTCCGCTAATATTAAGTTGCCGGAGATTCCTCTACCGAAATTCTCTGGAAAATATGAAGAATGGAGTAACTTTAAAATGCAATTTGATAATATCATTTCGTCAAACGAGCAACTGTCGGCAGAACAAAAACTACATTATTTGAAGGCTGCTCTCGTAGGGGAAGCTAAGAGTTTAGAAACGTTAAACGATTCGTTTGCTTCATTGTTTCAAGCGCTACAAGAAAGGTACGAAAATAAGAAATTAATAGTAGAAACCCATGTTAATGCGATTCTGGACTCTGTAAAATTACCTTATGAGTCAGCAAGGGGTTTGAGGAGTTTAATTGATAGCATCAATAGAAATATGCGAGCACTAAAAGTCCTANATATAAATATAGTTTTAAGGAACATTAGAATTTATTTTTAATACCGAGATTGAAAGTTGCAATCATGGAGACATATGGTTTTATTATTACTTACGACGGCGATAGAAATTATTCTGTTTCTCCTCGTTTGTACAAGTCTTTGGATACATGTATTGCTGCAGTAAATAATTTTTCTTTCGATATTCCTGATAATTTCCCTATTGTTTTACGTTATTTTAAAGTTAACAATGAAATATGGAAAGGAGATGGAAAATTTGGTTTTATAATTGTCGACGAGGATGGGAGAATTAATGAAGTTAGTAATAAATTATACTATTCGTTCGAGGAATGTTCAGAAGTTATGAATAAAGTTTATATAGAAAAGAACAAAAAGAATATATTAATATCTAGAGAGATAATTTGTGGAACAAAGCATTATAAATTTACTAAAAGCTTATTAATACGAATATGTATTTCAAACATCCTAGTAACTGTATAATTGTTGGACCTTCACAATGTGGAAAGACTACACTAGTGTGAAAAATTCTTCATAGTAAAATTTATGAAAAGACATTAAAAAAGGTTCTATGGTGTTATTACATATATTTACCAGTTTTTCACGAGGAAAGAGATATTACATTCATGTATGGTTTACGTGAATCAGTGCAAGAATGGGATTTAATAATAATTGATGATTTGATGCATGAACTCAGTTCAAAAACTACATCTTTGTTTACAACAGAGTCTCATCATTATAATGTAAGCGTGATAATTATAATGCAAAATTTGTTTCCAAAAAATAGAATTATGAGAGATATAACTTTAAACATGCATTATGGGATATTATTTAAAAATAATCGCGATTAAAGTCAAGTAAGTTGTTTGGGGCGGCAAGCTTTTGCTGGTAAATGCGATTTTTTTATGGATGCATATAAAAAAGCAACAGAGAAAGAATTTGGTTATTTGTTGTTAGATTTTCATCCTAAAACGAATTAGAAATTTTCTGTGAGAGATTCGTGTTTTCCCGACGAACAAGGTATTTTTTGGATATACAGTAGAGCGTCGTTTATCCGAAAGCTGGTTATCCAAAACGTCCGTTATCCGAAAGCATTCCAGTCCGCAAATTAAAATTTTCGCTAGTGCTGTGGCGCTGCAATCTTCGGCTATTTCTTGGGTTACTCAAATATTTTACATTTTTTATACTAAATTAACATGTGAAGCGTAATTTTTTATTGTTTTCATATTTTTCAATATATTTATTTTGTTTGCACAAAATAAAAAAATAATTTTTAACGATACAATAGTCTTCGTTAGGCTTAACATCGACGAAAATTCAATGCGAAGCGACATGCAACGGAGAAAAATTTCAACATGGAATAAATTAACATATTTTTTCGTACATGATTCGTTATCCGAAAAATAAGTTATCCGAACCACTCCAGTCCCCAATTGATTCGGATAAACGACGCTCTACTGTACTTACCAATAAAATAAAGAACGTAAAGAAAAATTATCATATGTTAGCACTTTTGTCCAAGACTACTCCTTCTCAGCGAAAAGCAATATTGAAAGAAGCTACTCCCGATCAAATTAAAGTTTTGTGTGAAATATGTGATAATTTGCGGAGAGGAAATATACCTGCTGATGTTCGTAAATTACAAAAATATAAAAAAATTATCAGGAAATTAAGTGAAAAAAATGTTCCTTTAAATACTAAGAAAAAAATTTTAGTTAATCAATCGGGTGGATTCCTTCCTCTTCTACTGGCTCCGTTATTGTCTATGGCAGCTGGACTAATTGGTAAAGCAATAGGAAAAAGAATCTGATGGCGAAGCAAATGGCTCTTGTCCCTCCTGAATTACTGTCAGCATATCAAAAACCTGAAATAAGAATTGGTAATAATATTGAAGAATTACTCGAGACTGCTGATTTATCTGATGATAGTAAAGTCAAATTATTAAGTCAATTGATTTCAAGATATCAGAGAACAGTTCAT